CGGGGGCGGGGCTGCAGGCAGGGCGGGGGCGGCCTCAGGGGCGGGGGGGCAGTTGGAAAGGCGCAGGGGGGGTTTCGGGGTGCATTGGGGACCCCCAGCCCCACGTGCACGCCCTGCTCTCCACCCCACAGCAGCGGAGCCGCGCAGCACTCAGCAGATAGCGCCCTGCTGGCCCCCCTGGTGCAGCACTGGCCACATACGCTCTAGTCCCAGCCCTCGAGAAGCACCGACACAAACAGGACCTGGGGCAGGACGGCAGGATCTGACCCTGCAATTTTATTGCATCTGGGGTTCCTGGGCAGGTGGCTCCCACAGCATGGGGTGCCTGGGGGGCCTCATTCATCCCAGGCTTCCTTGTCGGTGTCGATGGACACGCAGTTGTACACGGCGTACCGCAGCAGGTCCTCACAGGCCTTGGCCCTGGCAGGGGGGGATGCTGGGTCATGATCGTGATCGGTACCCAGAGCCTCACGCTTCCCTCCCTGCACCCACGCAGACATTCCCCAGGGCAGAACCTGGGGCCTCTGGAAGGAGACCCTAATGTCAGCCCCAGGGAGGGGGGAGCATCCCTGTCCTGCATCCCCAGGTCAACTCACGAGGAATAGTTGGGCAAGAAGAAGCTGCAGGAGCACGTAGAGGCCTGTGGCATCAGGTCCAACGCATTCAAGCTTGGTAGAAAGGGGAGAGAATCAGACCACAGCAGGACCCAGAACCCCAGCAGAGTGCTGGGACCTCAAACCATGCAGGAACCCCAGCCCAGGGAGGATGGACTCACTTCGACCTTTCTGGGAAGACAGTGATCTGAACTGGGAGACGGCTCCGGCCAGTGACGAACTTGAGGAAGCGGCTGAGATCCTCTGAGGGGAAAGACAGGTCTCAGGGACAGGGACAGGATCGTCCCAGTCACTGCCATTGCAGCAGGGTCTGTAATGCAGAACCATCCTGAGAGCATGGGGCAAAGCTAAGGGATGCTCTCAGCATCTCGGGAAAGGCCAGGCATGACAACCCCAGATGACTTCCAGGGAAGAACCTGGTGACCATCCCCAGGGTGCAGGGCAGTGGGTATCCTGGCCCCTGGCCCACCCTGCTGCTGATAAAGAGCAGGGAAAGGCTTAGGGTCACTCACCACTGGTGAAGTTGTTGAGTGCCTCCAAGAAGTTCTGCACACAGGTGTCGTTGGAAGAAAAGTCCTCAAATGTGACTGCAACAAAGAATGTACAACAGCTTTGTTAAAAACTCGAGGCAAAGCAAATTAACAGGTGACATGTTCATTCTGCCCTTCTGTGAGAGCCCAGAGCAGAGGCAGGAGGAGCCCCTCTGCCCTCAGCCCCTGAGACCCCCAGCATGCCTGAGCGGGGCTGGCACCCTGTGCAAAAACAGGTGGAGAAATAGGGGTCCCAGTTTTCAGGATGGCCATTTATCTCTAGCCAAAGCAGCTGAGGACCAGATGGACCAGACTGGGGACTGGTGGGGTCTGCAGCTAAACCAGAGGCATCCCTATCCAGGGTCTCTCTGGCTTATCTTCCCTCAGGCTCCTGGGTACCCCATGATCAGGGACTCAGCCTGGGGCAGGATGTGTGTGCAGGACGAGTGTCATCAAGGGGGGGGCCCACCCAAACAGGGATCTAGGAGCAGCTTTGGGCTGGCCCTGGCACTTACTGAACTTCCGCAGTTCAGCCACTGTGATCACAGGGTCCCCGCAGATCTTCTTTTCCAGCTGTTGCCAGGTGAGCAGGTCCAGCACAGGCTGGGGAACCACGCGGAGCAGCCCAGCGCGCATGGCTGCAATCTTGGGGTGACACAGGAGGGGTCTCACGTCACTGTGGTAAGTCAGCCCAGCACAGCTGCGCGAGGCACCAGGTGCAGGGACTGAAGGACCCCAAAGTGGGTCCCCAGGCCTCATGGACATCCTGGGCATGGGATGCACAGAGGAACCACCCAACTGGATCTGGTTTTGGGAACACGTTTTCACAGCCACCAATCCCAGAGGTACCAGAAGGGCTTGCCACAGCAGCAGGGTTCCCTTTGAGCCACACTGGCCCTGGGGGACAGCATTACCTGCTCCTTGCTCTCCTCCAGCCGAGCCTTCTGCACCAGGCGGATGAACTCCTTGCGGTCCTCGTAGCGCACCACAATGCTGCTGCCACCAGGGATCAGCTCCACCACGCGCTGGTCACTCCGCACTGTTGTGTAGGTCACCTCTTTGCCAAACATGAACTCAAAGCCTTTCCTGTCCACCCCCTCCAGCACTTCCAGCAGATTCACCTGCAACCCCAATGGGCAAAAGCAATCATGGCAGAACTGGAGCAGCCATGGGAGTGCACAGCACTGCCCTGCCAGCCCCGAGACGTGCTCACCAGCTCTGAGTCCACGGCAGCAAAGTCCTTGCTCCAACTGACCTCCTCCCCTGCCAGCTGCTTCCACACCAGTGCTGGCAGAGCCAGGATCTGCCAGAAGGACCAGAGTCATGCATCCTCCCTGTGCCCCTCCACAGAATGACAGCCCCTCTGCCCGAGACACAGTGGCCCCTGCCAAGCCACCTTGCTAAGCAGGGAGGCTCTACCACACTCACCAGAAACTCCTTGCTCCTCAGGGCTGCTCCCATCAGCTGCCCGATCCACTCATACTTGGGGAAGTCCTTGCAGGAGGGGTTGGGGACGTACATGTCCCTGGCATCACTGCTGCTGTTACCCTGTGGGAGAGAAGCTTAGGACCCACAGACATAGATGCGACCAGCTCAGCATGGCCCCTCTGCAGCCTCCCTCTCCATCACCCCTCCGCCTGCCTCTCATGCCCTTTACGCTCCATTAGGAGACTCCTGCTACCTGGGTACAAGCACAGCCCTCCCTGGCCAATTGCCCTGCAAGTGTAAAGATAGGACTAACACCCCAAAAGCCCCCAGGCTCTGCTGACTGTACCCCCAGGGCCAGCAGAGGCAGACAGTGGGGTGCCAAACCTGGTTGGAGGTGCGCACGAAGAAGGGCAGTGGCACAGGGACATCACCTGAGCTGGGACACAGCTCCTCCGAAATATCTGACAGGGTGTCCCGAAAACCGCCACCTGCAGAGGGTGAAGAGGCTGGTTATTCCTGACATGCCGGGGCCAGATGCTCAGCCACAGGATGTGGCCAAACTGTCCCTCTCCCTGGGGCAGGGGCAGTGCTGGTGGGGTAGTGGAGATGCAGGAACCACTCGAGACGTGCAGAGCAGGGTTGCCTCCCACAGAGCAGCCAGGACAGTGTGGGCTCCCCACTGCAGTGGGTGACCCACCGAGTTGCACCCCAACATGAGAAAGCCCAGGGGAGAGCCCTAGGGCAGGAGGGGAAAGCTCTCACCATTGTCCACGATGCCCTCGGTGATGAAATCGCACTCCCACCACTGGCTGTGGCTCCGGGGCCACCTGTGGGGAAGCAATAACCCCATGCAGCACCTGGCATCCCCCCATACCCCACGCCAGGGAGGTGACACCCCACAAATGCAGTGCTGAAGACCTACCTGTAGTCCAGGGGCTGATTGTTCTTGGAAGATCTGAGGCCTTCATACAGCTGGAGAGGAGCAGAGCAGAAAGGGGATGAGATACAGCAGGGGTAAGTGATGTTGAAATGGCAAGAACCTGGCATGGGGCAGCATGTTGCTGTACCTGGGTGAAGACGGTGTTCCTGCAGCTGGGGTCCAGCGCAGGGTTGGCACGGTGCTCCCGGGCCAGGTGCCGGTTGATGTACAGCTTTGGCATGGTGTGAGGGTGGGTGCTCTCTGAGGACTGGAGACAGTGGATGATGAGGGCTGTGCTCTGCTTGCACAGCATCAGGAATGGCTTCATGCTCTAGCAAGGGATGAGCAGGGATGGTTAGAGGCCTGATCCTGCCACCACATGCTCTCTTTCCATCTCCCCAAGCACAGTCCCTGGTGTTGTAGGGGATGCTCAGCTCCCTCATCCCTCCAGCAATACCCAGCACAGCAGCTCTCAGCAGGAGCCCTGGGCTGGTCTGTCCCCATCAGATCAAGGGGTACATGCCACAGCCCCCAGTAAAATCAGCTGAGCCTGTGATGAGATCAGCACCATCCCAAGGGAGCCTGGCAAATGCTCACACTGAGCGCATTGAAGGTACCGATGCTGTCCTCAGAGAGGGGGATCAGATAATGCAGGACACTGTCCAGGAGCTGGACGAACCTGGAGACCGGAGAGGAGCAACATGAGAATGCAAGGGGGTTGGCAGATGTGTGGAGCCCAACACACCCATGGTATTTCACTACAGACAGCCCCAGGCATGCACCAAGCCCGGGCCCTGTGCTCCCTGCACATGGGTCCCCTCCAGACTACGGAGGGACACCAGCACACCAAGGAAAGCACCCAACAAACCCCCTCTGGCCAAACACTTTTTTCTTTCCTCCCAAGAAAAAGCTGCAAACCTGGGCAGCCAAGCCCATGCCACAGCACTGCAGCTGAATCACTGTAGAGGGTCTCTCTGTGGGGCCAGTGCTGATCCCAGCCTGGGGCTGCCCTGCAGGCAGTGGGGTGGGGGACTCCACGTGATGCAGGTCCTCCTCATCTCATGCTGCCACCATGCTCCCCAGGCATTGGAAGCAGCCATGTTTGGACAAGGAGCAGCAAGCTGAAGTCCCTGCCATGCACAGGAAAGGATCTGGCAGACTTTAAGACATGTACAACCCCCTGCTAGAGGCCAGGGCATGGTTATTCTTAGGTTTGCTGTGGAGATGGTGCCATCCCTGTGTCATACCTCTGAATAAGCACGGCCCGCCGGTACAGCACATCGGCATCCACCCCTTTCAGGAGAGGGTAGCGCACCAGCCGGGCTGGCTGGAACATGTCAGCATTGAGGATCAGGTCCCACTCCCAGAATGACTTGATCTTAATCCCTCGCAGGCGGACATTGTACCCTTCATCTGCCAAGAAAGGACAGCAATACTGCATACATGGCTGCAGCTGTGCAGCTGGCACAGCTCAGATGCTGCAACTGGGGGCAAAGAGCCCCCAGCACCTGCAGCATCCCAAATGAAGCTCACTCCCCAGCTTTTCCTCCAATGAACCCCCAAAAGCAGCCAGTGCAGCAGGAAGATCCACAGCTGCCAGTACCAGCTGCAGCTTTAGGGCAGGGCTGGGCTGGGCTGGCAGCCTCAGTCTGGCAGCTCAGTCTCACCCCGGCACTCCAGGATGCGGATCTCCAGCACCGGCAGGTGGATCTTCATGTCGCGGAGGATGCAGACGTTGTGGTAGCTGTTCCTGCATACAGCACAGAGGGAAACGGCAGAACTGCGAGGCACAGACACTGGCGAGGCAGCCAGTGAGGCATGGGCCACTCCGGCTCCCCAGCTGAGGATGCACCACTACCGATGGCAAAAGCCCTCCCCACCTCACTGGGGCTGCAGCAGGAGGGGATTGAGTGGAGAAAAGAGGCTGTCAGAGGCACAGAGATGTCCTGAAGAAGGTGGAAGCCACATCCAAAGAGTCAGAAAAGCATAAATTCAAAGCAGAACAGAAAGGCAAGATGGCCAAGAGCGCATCACTGTTCCCAGGGGGGGTCTTAGTACATCTCACAATGGCACAACCATCCTCCAAGCCAAGCTGGTCATGCAAGGGTGGTGTGTTTCGAAGGCAACGGGGTTTGTAGAGATGAGAAATTTGGCAAGTGATCAGCTTGTTTCCAAAGCCTTTGGTAAGGTCCTGGCAAAGATCCACAGGTGCATGGGGAAAAAAACCACTGCGACTGCCGAGACACAGTGAGGAGTTGGCTTCTGCCACTGGGGAGGGGACCTCAACTGTCTCGTGTGTGCTTCTTCAAAGAAAAATCTCACTGCTCAGCCAAAAAAGGCAAACAGGCAAGTTTTGAGGAAGGAGGAGGAAGAGATCACACCCCTGTGTAAACCCCTGCCTGCCTTGAGAAGGGTGTTGCAGAGCCAGAGCAAAGAGAGACGTGAAGCACCCCAGAACTTCTCAGCTACAGCATGGCAGAGATGCTCAGAAAGGTGCCATCGCATGTGCCGCCAGAGGCGAGGAAGAGGAGGAGGCGGAAAGATCCCCAAAGTCACCAGGCAGGAGGAAACACACTGCAGACCAGTTGCCGCAGTACAGATGAGGAGCAGGAGTGGAGATGAAAATGCCTGGCTGGCACATGGAGGCGGGGGACCACCACGCTTGTGGGAACAGACATAGCCTGCACCCAGGGAGCCCTGACCCATGGAGAGCCACTGTCACCACCAGGTCACTCAGGACCAACCCCAGCCTTTTCCTTAGCATCTGGCTTGAGAGTTTGGCCCAATCCAGACCCAGGCTGCTCCTCACTCATTACTCACTCATTAATTAGGACAGTTCTCAGGTGCTGCAGCCTGTTCAGTGCACCCCCGTACACAGCCACCCGCCTGGGTATATAGGAGCTTGCCTGCCCGTCCAGTATCAGCCACAGCTTCCTGGGGATGAGAAGGGCAAGTGGCAACATTGTCCTCCCCTTCAAAGCTGCCTGGATACAGAGATGTCCCCAGGGATGTCACAGGACTGTGGACAAGGCTGTGTCCTCCTGGGGTGCATCTGGCAGCAGCTGCCCCCCACCTCAACCCCAAGCCTCCAGCTACAGCCTGGGAAAAGCTGCATTCGGGAGGAAGATGGTGCTTTGCACTGCACCCTGCCCATCCCTGGCACAGCTGCCAGCAGGGAGGGGACACCCCGAGGTCTCACTTGACAATAGTGCCTTTCTTCATGTTGAGCCGCACCCAGTGCTGCCCCGGGGGCCCGTTGCTCTCCCAGAAGTTGTATGTCTGGTTGTCCGTCAGATTGGCTGCACCACAGTCCTCCTGCAAGAGTGCAGCAAGCGGAGGGAAGGAGCTGAGCATCCATGGGCATGCCGTGACCACCCCTGGAATGGGTCCTGTGGTGCCAGAGTTGGTCAGGACTGGGCCAGCACCTTGGTTTGCTAGGGTGGATGGTGGCTCCTGCACAGAGCAAGCTGGGCACAGCCAGGGACCCCTCACAGTGCTCCAGACACAACAGGGTTTTGCTCCAGATCCCCAACTCCCGGCAGCTTCGCTAGAGCAGCAAAACCACACCGCCATTCCCTGCCCCTCACAGAGGGAACAGCCTCTGCCAGCCACTCCTCCCTGCAGCCATGGCGATGCTCATGTGTCTCAGCTGATTTTAGGCTGTGAAGGAGCCCCACTACGCACCATCTGAGAGGAGACCTCAATGCTGCTGAGGTGTTCCTTGGTGCAGTCCACACCCTGCAGCTCCCTCTCGCTGTGATCATACAGGAAGCGTCCCAACTCCATGTCACGCTCGTAGCTCCAGCCTGGGGGCACAGACCTGCAGAAGGGCTCCATGTTAACAGGACAGGGAGACCAGGCTGCGCCCCAAACCTGCCCACCAGCACTGTGCAGATGCCCCAGCATCTCATGGTCACCACATCAAGATGGTGCTGGGCATCTGTCTGCTGCAGGTAGGTGGCATGGTGTATCTCACCACCACCACACCAGGTGTTTATGGCCACCCCAGCCCAGTGGGAATAGCACAAGGCAGTTGCTCTGATGCTCCACAGAGCAAAGGCCATCTTTGCTTGAGCAGTGTTGAACAGTATCAATGTAAAAGGCATCTCATGGCATACATCCTCCCCACTCCCAACCCTGAAGCCAGTCCTGGCTCCCCAGTCACGTCCAGGCCCTGGCTGGCCACTCCTTGGGGGCTGCAGCACCGCTCTAGCATATACAATCATACCGAAATTTCTGCACCGCGGCCTCATCCTGCTCTAAGAGTCTGGGCTTCTCTCCCAGGCGCACGGAGTAGGTCAGGTCTACCACTTGTTCCCAGCTGGAGCAGCACCAATGGAGGAGTCACAGAAGGGAAAAGACGGATCAGTGCTCAGCATGCCCAAGAGTTACTGCCTTAGCGCAGAGTGGAGGCAGCAGCACTGAGGGACCAGGGATAACACCCAGGGGCTGCAGGAACAGTTGTAGGAGGGATGAGAACACCCAGGTGCAGGCTGAGGCCGAGCAGAGGAATCCAGCCCTGCACATGGCCTTCCATCATGAAAATCAAGTATGAGCTCTCTCATCACCGCGTTACTTCTGTGACATTGCTCAGCCCAAACCTGAGAGCCTCAGAAACCCCCTGGCACCACCTTTATCCCTTACAGGTGCTACCACAAGCAAACAGGATTAGCCTACAGGGGCCACCACCCTCCTGCCCGCAGGCGGCTCGGCGGGGATGTGTCCCACCCGTGTTAGAGGGAGCCAGGGGGGACGTGCTGGACGTCCCAAGGGGTTGGGGATGGCTGGGTCTCACGTCCTCTGTGGGTACCAGCCACACGTGCCTGCAGTGCCCACAGCCTGGTCCCTATCCGGGGCGCAGCAGGCTGGGGGCCGTACCTGGCCGCGGGTTTATAATCAACCCCGAATGTTTGGCGCTGCCACTGGATCTTCTCCACGGAGTCAACCGGGACCAATTTATCTCCTCCCTCTCCAAACCTCTGGGCCAGGAGCCAGCCCTCAGCCAGGTCACAGCTGCTCGTGTGCTCCTCCAGCTGCTCCTGAAATAGCACCACGGCTCGTCACCGCCGTCGGGACCCCAGGCACCCCCCCCGGCGGTTCCCGGCTGCGCTGCGGGGCGCGTCCCCCCGCCGTTACCTTGCTGAGCTTGACCCAGAGCCCGGCGCCGTTGCAGTACTCCTCGCCGGTGGCGCGGAGGCAGCCGCCCTTCCGCACCTCGATGGTGGCCCTCGCCGCCCGCTTGCCGCCCCTCGCCGGCCCCGGGCTGTCCCAGACGCTGAGGAGGCTGCGGGCGGCGGCGGCGGCGGTGGGGTCCTTGCAGATCTTGTACTGCACCTCCCGCGGCACGTAGCAGAGCGCGGCGGGCAGCGCCCGGGCGCGGCGGAAGCACTCGCTGCACTGCAGCAGGAACCGCAGCCGGCCCAGCACCTGGTGCGGCGCCTCCCCGCCCGCACGCATCGC